TATGAATTTTGCCTGTTATGTATTTGACTGCAATTTAGATTCCAATCTAATGCAATTCATTTACAATCATCATTTACTAATGGGGATGAATATCTTCGGCAAGTGACCTGCGCAGACGAACCGTCTTTAGTATTCAAGAAAAATATACTATGAATTTTGCCTGTTCTGTATTTGACCGCAATTTAAATTCAACTCCAATGCAATTCATTTACAATCATCATTTACTAATGGGGATGAATATCTTCGGCAAGTGACCTGCGCAGACGAACCGTCTTTAGTATTCAAGAAAAATATAATATGAATTTTGCCTGTTCTGTATTTGCCCGCCATTTAAATTCAAGTCTAATGCAATTCATTTACAATCATCATTTACTATTGGGGATGAATATCTTCGGGAAGTGACCTGCGCAGTGGAAAGTTTATCACGATTCAATAAAAACTTACAAATTTTGGTGGTTTTGTATTCAACAGTGGCAAGATAATTTTATCTCCTCTTTCTAAAACCGGTAATTAGCAAAGTCATCTAGCAACTTGCCCAACCAAAAGTTCAAAGTTTAAATCAAAACGTGAAAAGCAACTGGTCACTTGGAAACATTTAATGTTTTTGACAGTAGCAAAATAATTTTATCTCCTTTTTTCATACCAGTTATTTGCATATCACCTAGCAACCTGCCTAACGAACATTTCAAAACTTAAATCATAAATTAAAAAGCAACTAATCACTTTAAGCCATGAAAACATTTTAAACAACAGGTATAAACTTCACAAAATACCAATCAGTAATTGCAGATTCAGTATGTAGCACAGGACTTTTGGGAGACCACCAGATCTCCCAAGTTTTTCTCTAAGAATTTCCCCAAGATTTTATAATCCTTCTCTCCCTTATAGCTAGCACTTTGCCTCTATGCACAGTAAACATAGCCACCGACCTCGGCTGATCATACGCCAATGCAAGGATTTAATTCAATTAGAATATGCAAATTTTCAATCTCTCTCATAGACCGTGCTCAATAACATCATATGCAAAATCAGATCGAGAAATAAAACAAAGATCTTGGATTTCAAAAACAGCATTTCAATCTCTGTGCAATGGACTCACTGCAAGAAATATCAACAAACTAAACTGGAATTCAAACTGAACTAAATATTAACAATCAAACTGAACTTAGAATCAAGTGCTATATATGGAGTACAACGATGTATGGATGATATTTTGATCGGCTAATGAGGGTGGACGATGAAGAAGCAACTCAACGCGAGAGAAATGCGGTTTTTACAGAGAATGGCGAAGATCTCCTGCATAAAGTAAGTGACGAGTGAAAACGTATTGAGAAGAGTACATACTGAAAGAAGAAATATATGAAGCAAATAGTGCAGAGACAACTTATGCTTTTAGGACACTTACTAAGGAAAGAAGGCAAAGAATAACAAATGGTAACTGGTTTTATAGAAGGAAAAATGGATATTTTACATCCATATCTATTTTAATAGATGGTCATTTGACAGAGCATTTTATTAAAACCTCTCTACTCATTGGTCAATAGGCTTTTAAAAATTATAAGGGATAAATAAGAGGATGCGTTTATCAATTAGGAAATACTTTACAAAATCGCCGTTATTTACTAAAATATTTTTTTGTTCTCTAACCAGGGCAATTAAAAAGCCGTTGTAGTTTCGAAAAATCACGTTGAAAACTAGAGTGTCAGCTGTCCTAGCTCTGTTTGTTCTTACGATCACATTTACAGTGACACTGGCGGATCCAGACTACCGCCATTACCGCTCGAGCGGTAGTCAGACTATTCAAAAAATTTTAGAAGCAAGGATCATTTTCATTTTTATCTTACTACTTTAATTAAACCATAGTTAAAAATTGAAAATATTTGATCGCACTGCAAACCAAGCATTCCTTCCTAGAAGCATGCCTGAAATTTCCACAGAGACAGAAATATTTTTTAATCCTTATTGCTATGGAAATTGCGTGCCAATTAGCCGAGTCTCATGTTTGCAAATAAATAGCTAGCATGGGGGATGATGAAATCATGGCTTTCTAGCTAGGGGGGTTGAGTCGGTGTAGAGCGGATTCGAGCTGCACTGAGCGGTAGTCAGTCTGCCTAAACCAATCAAATCATCAGAAATCACAACCAACCTGGGGGGGGGGAATTCGTACAAATTTTGTGGACAACCCACGAACAACCGAGTTGACTACCGCTCAGATGGGGGAGGGGGTGAATAGTACTGCCGCTCAACAAGGCGCAAACGTTACAGAAAGATGGGGGTATGCCTACATATTCTGCAAGTGGGCAAACTGTAACCTAAAAGACGATGTGTGTTTTGTACAATACACAAATATTGGTTGGAATACATTTTATAAGAATATTTAGATTCAAATATTCTAAAATTTAAGAAGGCATCAGGATTAAAAGTCAGGCGCACAAAGTGTGCCAAAAGTCTGATTCTTTGTCTAACAAATGTTGCTCTCAATAATTGCAAATTTTATCTGGCTTTTTAAACTTATAATTTCCAACAGGTCTGATTTCAATAATTAATTGTGCGACTTAATGAGAGTTTAAGGCGACATTTCCAAATTCTGCCAAATGTATCTTTTTTTCTAGTTCTACGGTGTTCCTCGGCTAAATACCGTAAATTTTTTTTAATATCCATTCTCAGAATATTGAGCAACATTATTTGTTTCTTCTAAAGCTTGTTGTAAGGATAATGCATGAAGTTTCAGTAAAGCACCGCTTGTCACTTGAAAATGGTCTACATAAGAAATTATAGAAAGCAATAATTATTTTAGAAAACCGGGTGTGACCAGGAAATGGGTGTGGTCTAAAAGGCGTGGTTGACCCTCTATCTCATTTCGGCGCTAGTCAGATTTTTGGCTGGATCTGCCACTGTCTGGTACTGAATTTATTTCCTAACTATATTATCGTTTTTCTGGATGAAGTACCACACTCAACGTACATTTTTAATAGCCTTGTGACGCCTGTATTCAGAACTACTTTGTCGAATAAATGTGAAAACCAGTAATTGTTTGCATGGTTATCTTAAATCCTAACTCTATCAACGTCATTAATTTATGAGCCTTTGAACCTTTGAACTGGCTGAGGTTCATGGTTCTAGTAACATTATGTTGAATTAATATAGAGATTAATATAATATAGGATTATGGATCAAAGCAGAAGCGGGTGCACTTGCCTACCATTCACAGTACAGTAATAAGGCGAATGTTACTTACTTTAACTTCAACTTCAACTGAGTTATCTTTATTAACCCAGCTTTGGCTTATGTCTTTCATGGTCCACCGAGCCGAATGTTTGACATTGCTATTAATGAGATTCACCTTTCTTTGATTGGTCTACATTCCAACTGAATCTAAAGGGTGAGGGCACTTCATCTTTAGCTTGAAAGGTCCAGCTTTCCTGCTTCCACTCTGCTTTCACTCTGCGAGAAAAAGCTATTGGAAATGAAAATTAACCAGTCTTTTGTTTGTTTCGAAGCAAAATCCTTTTTGTAGCTAGCGAGCCTTCTGTCAATGGACAAAACATTTTCGGTTTTTTTGATGGACGTGTATTTTTCTCTACCAAATCCATAAACTCTACATCGTAATAAAATGTTTCTACGCCATTGAATGTGTCTTCATGAAATGAAAAGGACTTTTGAGTCATTGCAGATGCAGATAATGTAAGAAATATCCACTTTTACACAGATAACAATCTGAAAAATCTTTGACAATCTCTCAGAAATTCCCAGATTAAGGCTGGATAACTGGATCTCCAAAGATCTATTGGAACTTCTTCTTTATGGTGATACCAAGTGCAATCAAATTGAAAATAAGCTGATATTGGAAGCTACAATTTATCATATTTCTTCAACAAAACGCCTAAATTGATCTTTGTTCATAATACGGGTTGTATACAGCCCCCCATCCTCTTTCGTTTTGTGTGTGTTTGTTTTTAGTACTAGTTGCACTGTAGTGTATAGCATTGTCAGTGATGTATGTATAGAGACCAGGTGACGTATAGTCTTTTGCGCTGCATGAATAGATCAAATATTTTTCTTGTTGTAGTTAAAATTTGCCGGAAAAAAGAACATGCATTATATACGTAAATAACTTTTCTTTGCGTTAAAAAATTAATTGGTTGTCTGGAAAAGATTCATAGGGTTCCCCGATCAAAAAAAAATTGTAGCGATGAAAGGTTTTCACAACAGAGCAATAATTCGTTTATGATCTTTACTTTAAATATCCCTTCATGCTACTTATGGTACCAGGTTTCAATCCCTCTAAGCAAGTTATTTTCGTAACTTTAAGATTGCTATACCAGCATAGACCTTGGTAGAGAAAGCGGCTGGATATGCTGAAAAGATATTATGCTGACACACGCTGGAAAATATCCCTTTATGCTATTTATAGACTGGGTGACCAGGTTCCAGACTTCTAGCCAGTTATTGTGAGGATTTACCTTTTAGATCCAGCTCCTAGCATGGAACGTAGTAGAGATGGCCTGTTAAGCGTAAGACGTGGACCAAGTATAAAAAAATCTAATTTTTGACGGTATAGAAATTGAATATGACCTTGAAAAAAAGGAAACATTTCACAACATACTACTTGTTATTTTTGCAACTTGCTAAATATTTACTGGATATATATTTTCCATCGTGTTCCTTAGAACCCTAATTGTGACCTTTTATACTTTGAGGATTGTCAGACGAAAAAGCACTAAGAAGTATGTTTGCTTTCTTCCAAGTAATTTTGCTAATTGATAAGCTGAAAAAAGGCTGTGAACAAATGCTGAAAGTTGCCAAAACTATTGTGTCCAAATCGCAAAAGGTTGTTTAATATTAATTATAGGCACTAATTTTTTCTTTTACTTCTTTTCGTCAATTGTTTCGATTTTTTTAAACACTTTTCGCCAAATATGCAAAAGGTTGTTTAGTTATTTTAAAACTTGGTGCAAACTAGAAAAGGAAGTTCAACTGACGTATACCGGAAGTCTTTCAAATGGTTCAAAACGACAATTTGCTTCCGTTTTGCTACTTTGATCACAAGATGGAAGGCCATCTATATTTGGTTTGTTTGATATCCATCTTTTTGCGTGGCAGTTACACTCTTCAAGGTAAGAAACATTGTCTCCCATAGGAAACAAACCTTGGCCCCCAAGAAATGCCATTTTGTTGACGGTTGGCATCTACCGTTACCAATTTCTATGGGCCGGGAAAATCATGTTTTTAGGGGCATACCGTTTATTGTTGTTATCACTTATAACATCTTGATCATATGAGTTTTGTGGAGGCAGCATAGAGCCTCACTTCACCTGCTTTTTCTCATAAATCTGTTGTTACAAATGATAAAAGCTTAAAAGGAAGAAAAATCCAAAAGGCCTACAGGATAAGTCACTTGAGGGGGTATGGGGGGGGGGGGGTGGTTCATCCCGCTAACCACGAATTAGGACCTTGTCGCAGGGCAAAACTGATTTTGCAGGGCAAATGTTTTCTACCAACGGATCCAGTTTGTTGTTTTTCATATGTAACTGTAACAAGAAAATAAGTTATGCTTGTCATTTGTCTACTCCAAAAGTAACATGATACAGACTACCAGTGACACGAAGTAGAAATTGCCAGCGTGATCTTGGGCTGGATGGAATAGATTTCTAAATTGATTCTGATTTCTTTTCACCTTACGTGTTACACCATTTCTATGGTTACATCCTTGGTTGATATTTGTGTCTTATTTAAAAACCATATACTAGAAAGACAAGCACCGCTTGTCAGAAAACTAAGACACTGTAAACGGGGCTATTTGGGTCAAATTTTGATGGAATAGTTTTGCATATTTGGGTCTAATCTTGCTATGACTGTAACCAGAAACGTGAACATGATATAGGGTATATTGCATAAATTTTTGTAGGTTTTCAAGCTTGTGTTTGCAATGTGAAGATTATGTCATTGATAAATCTTTTCCAAAATATTTTACTACGCCCCATCAGGGCATTTCTCAAGACATGTTGTTCTATTGTTGTCATGAATATGTTGGCATAATTTGGGGCAAATTGCGGTGCTTTTAAGGGAGGTTAATAAAATTTACCATTACACTTCTTCTTTATATGAACCAGCAAATTGATGTTCAGGCTGGTTGTTCTTAATCTTTTCGAAAATCTGAGGCTGAACTGTTCTCAAAATGTTCTTAAATTTATATGGTATAAGCAGTGCGATTGCTAGCTTTTCGCTTTAGGGAGGTGTCCAGGCCTCATTTGCCAACAAAGTGCAGGAGAAAACCTTCATTTGCCGCCACGTTTAAATATTCAAAAAACTCCTCGTTTTTTAGATGAAATAATGTTCAAAGTTACATTTTACAGTAGCCCAGCCCCAGCTTGTTCTTAATTTGTTCTCAACTTTTGACTAATTTTGAAGCTCTTGTTCTTATATAATTGCTCTTATAAAAGAGAGTGAAGGCAATATAATTATGTTTGAGAATAAAAATCACCATCTGTTGTATTTTATATGCAGCAGGGTAGTTTCCCTATAATGATTTTTATGGCATTGAGGGAAGCTTTGATACCCTTATCTTGTGAAATGCTAGTGGGTATATCGAAAGTATGTTGTAAAAAATGAGGGCATGGTCTTTGAATCAAGTATGGAGGGTTGCCTGCCTCACTCATTAGAAAACTTTCTCTTGCTCGTCTCCCTAAGGTTAGGCAAACACGTCGGTGAATTTGTGCACACACTGAACAAGGACCTAAGCGGGAACAACTTACCTTGAGAAGTATTTTAGTGTTGCGGGAACTGAGTGCCAGTTCGCAACATTTCCAACTTTTGCCAGGGCAAAATTTTGCTATTTTTCTGCAGGGCAAATATGCAGCCAAACCCCCCCCCCCCCAACAAAAAGTATAACGTGACGCCCCTAGCTACACTTGAATGAAATCTAATACAACGAGCTGTTCAAGTTACAAATAGTTGAAGAAAATTTCGATACCAAGGAAATGCCAAGTTCTAATCAATAGAAGATGTTTCTGGCTGTTGGACTATGATTGACAATGTTGGACTATGTTGGATTATGGACTATAAGATCAGCTTCCTCTAATTGATGGCAATTTTGTTTTGGATGGGTTGATAAGTCATTTCCGTTTGGAGGTATCTGTCTCTCTCCCTGCTTATTTAAAGAGGATTTTTAAGCATAATGGACAAAATTGAGAAACATAGGACGGAAATCTACACAGTTATTAACAAAGTGATAGTGTTACATTGAAAATAACGTTTGGTCTCTTGTCTCAGTTTAGAAATGGCTTTACACAAAAATCATCTTCTGACGATCTAGATAGCTTACATACCTAGACCCAACCCCATTTCGCCCCGTGGTTCTCCCACTGCTGTCCTGGTTTTCTATTTTCTCTTGATTCCCCATCTGCCCTTTGATTCTACATTTCTGATTTTATTTGTCCCATGTTTGCGCCAAGTCCTTTCATTTGCGCCATGCTTTGCCATTTGTCCCATGCTGCCCCATTAGAGCCATGATTCTCCATTTGTGCCTTCATTAGTCATTCGTGCCTTGCTTCCTGATTGCGTTTGGCTCACCCACTTCCCCCCCCCATGTGAAAGTGTCCGGGGGGACCGAAACGAATCGCAAAAGGACAATATGTAAAACTGCCCCCTTTATAAAAAATCTCATGGGACTATGTGCGTGATCGTGTTATACATGGGTATGAAAAAACTAAATATAGGAGGCCTATCTATAACAAAAAAGAAGTGAAAATTGAGGATGCTTTGTCAAATCCAATGGATAGAGGATAGAGGTCAAAACCAAAGGAATATTTCACGGTCAAAAGAGACACGTGCCTATACTACCAGAAATAAGGAAACTTCTCAAAAGATTGTTATAAAAAGAAAGCTGGCCAGAAAAAAAGATGCAAAACCGAGAGCAGCAAACAGTGCTGGGGATTCCAATGCTGGTTCAGCAACAGCAACCAGTGAGATTGCATTGGCAGTGAACACAAATACATAAAACAAAAACAAATGGTGGATTGATTCTGGTACCTCAAAGCATATAACGCCAAATGAGGCCAACATATCAACTTACACCAAATTCAGTAAGCCTCTAACTGGCTGATATTGGCTGATAACAATGTTCTGCTTTCGTATGGGAAAGGAATCCTAAGATTCCCAATTTTTGTGGTACAAGGAAATTCAATCTATTTTTGGAAGACCTACTTAATGTCCCGAAAATAAAGAGGGATTTGTTATCATTGCCAACAATGACACAACGAGGTGCAGAAGATAGGTTCAAGGAAGACGTTTGCATGGTTATTTCGGGGATGAAAAAATGTTGCATATTGGTCATAAATGATGGCAAATTATTCAAGCTGAATACTGAGGAAGTTTGTACCGCATATTTTGGCTCATTCAAAGCACGTGATAACTCTGTTAGGCTATGGCATGAATGTTTCGGTCATCTTTGGACAACCAGAAGCTGTCGAATGAAAAGGTTATGGTAAAAGATTTGAACCTGAAGTCTGGTGAGAGTGATGATAGAAGCTGATGATCAAAGCTGCAAGGGTTGTGTTGAAGGCAAACAAAATCGAAGGCCTCTTTCCAACGGAAAGCCAACGAAAATACTAGAATTAATCCACAGTGACGTTTATATTGTGAATATTAATTCAGTGAGTGGCTCAAAGTCTTTTGTGGTATCAACTGATGACTGCTCACAATTCACTACGGTGTAATTCTTGAAGAAAAAAAGGGAATTTTTGACGAAATTTAAAGGATTTTTTGCTGTGATGGAGAACCTCACTGGAAAGAAAGTCAAAATTTTGCGATCTGACAATGGCGGAGAGTACGTCTCTGGAGATTTTAAAAAGTTCTTTGCTACTCATGGCATCAAAAGGGAGGAAACAATTCCTATGTCTCCGCAGCAGAATGGTGTCTCTGAAAGGTTGAATCGCACAATAATGGAAAGTGCAAGGTCAATGCTGCAGCGCACAAGTCTCCCATTGAGATTCTGGGCTGAAGCCGTCGATGGCTGCAATGCACATGTACCTGGCACAAACGACGCAAACTGGAGAAGAAATCAGTTAAGTGTATATTTGTTGGATATCCAGCTATTTTCAAAGGTTAGAAGTTGTATAACACTGAAGAAGGAAAAATACTAAGAAGTCGTGATGTGCAAATTCTTGAAGAGGATTTTGAACGTTCTTCATTTAAGATCACCGAACTCAATGATTACAAGCAACATTTTCAATTTTGATGAAAATGAAGAAAATGATAAGCAAGTACCAGAAATTCGAAGATCCACAAGAGCAAGCAATGCTCCAGAAAGCCAGGCACAATAACCAAACACTGGGGCAGTATGAAGAGTGGGGCTGTGCAAATGTTGCAGTGCAGCACAGTGAAAAGCCTGAAGCCCTGGCTAACCTAAAAAAAAATTGGCAAAAATCGTCATGCATTATTGTTGAATAAAACCTGTTCAATTTCGTATGGCCACCACGTTTTACGATGTTTTACCATGTTTTGCGATGTTTGAATATGTTTGAATATGTTTGAATATGTTTGAATATGTTTGAATATGTTTGGAGATATTTGAAGATGTTTTACGATGTTTGGAGATGTTTTACGATGTTTGAAAATGTTTGAAGATGTTTGAAGATGTTTGGAGATGTTTTACGATGTTTGAAGATGTTTTACGATGTCTGGAAATGTTTGAAGATGTTTGAAGATGTTTGAAGATGTTTGAAGATGTTTGAAGATGTTTGAAGATGTTTTACGCATGTTTTACGCATGTTTTACGCATGTCACCTTGATGTGCGGACGTGTAAGTCAAATATTCTGAATTACCTATCCTTTACCAAATTTAGTTACTTTGTTATTACCTTTACTTTTACAATAGGTAACTTTATTAATGGATTAAATAGCCAGGAAAATTTAATTATCGAAAAAGGCGGAATTCTCTGTTTTTAAACTTTTAAGCATGAAAAATTACCTTCTAGAGAACCTTTAATCCTATTTATTCCCATTCTAACACAATTAAACTATTTGTGCATATTGGAAACCATTATTGTTCGATTTCTTGTTTTCTTTTTTAAATTGCTATTTTTTATTCTTACTGTTATTATTCAAACAAAACTAATAATAGGCAGGCTCTCGCCTAAATTGCACTGGACTTTATGATAAACAGGAGGGCGAATGGGAATATGACTCTCGAAAGATTCTAGCAATGAATGGATTTTTGAGCAAAGTCAAATTAAGTGCTGAAGAATAACAAGATAACAAAACACTGTCACAAAGCAAATCAGAAATACTTTTAGTTAGATGAGAGCTCTCATCTTGGAATGTACTGGTTGTCGGTCATTTTAAAAGTGATGACGTAATCTTTGAATTTTGCCGACATCATCAAGATACTGGTGTGCTTATATCATTAGAAAATTTGGCTTCAGGCGAGCCTAGATCTGGTTGTCATATTGATATAGAATGTAAAGTTAAAATGATTTTTAGCTTTGTAACTTCTTCATCAGGTTTGACTTTTGATGCATCATACATATTTTTTAGCTACATCAACATGTGCAAGAAGGTCAGAAGCTGATACTCGATGTGGAATATCTTGCTATGATGACCCTGAATGTGGCTCTAGGAAGACTTGTCTATGTGACGGTCCTTGCGGGATGAGTTGCCTCAAAAGAGGTTTCACTTTACTTTGCTAAAGTTGCAATTTGATTTGAAAAAAACCTAAGAAGCAGTCTCAAAGTTTATCAATGCTTTGTCCTACCATTCCTCGCAATTTTTTGCTTATTTCTTTATGTTGCTTGGCTTTCGTTCAGCCCTTAATTAAAAATATCTAGACCGATATAACTAGAATATAATGATATAGCTAGAATATAATCTTGACCGTGAAAATTTAGCTCATATTTCTTTTTCACAAGGCCGAAAGTGTCGCCGTAACTATTATAAAGCTCCTATTAATGGAAATCGAACTGTCAGTGGTAACAAATTAGGTGATACCATTGTCTACAGTTGCAAAAGAGGATATACACTTGTTGGACCGAGTGTTCTAACATGCAGTGGCATTCGTAAGTGGAAGCCATGGGACCAAGGAGAGCCAAAATGCGGTAAGGATATCTTAAACATGACGACCATTTGTCAGAAAAAAATGCTTCGGTTTCTGATTTCTCCAAAGAAATGGTTGCTATCTATAATTTGCCATGTTTCCAAAAGACAATAGACTTTAAAGATCATTTAACAATAAAAAACCTATTTATAAATAAGAGCGTTATCTTGCTACGTATGTACCTGCAATTGTTTAAATTATTTCTTTTAATTTTTTAATGATAATTTAAATCAAATAATATAGCAGCACAACACCAACAACAACAACACAACATCGACGATTTCGAGAAACAACTCTGGCAACAACAACGACAGAAAAAGATGCAACAGCAACAGCAGCGATATCTAGATAATGACGATCCGTCAAACCACCCTTGTTGTGATCTTTCCAAACTCGCAGCACCCTGGTTTCTCGTATGATGCCTTTAAAATTTAGAAAGGGTGTGTTTATCCTGGTGCCCTGAGTAACAAGGAAACAAGTGGTAATACTTCTAAAATTGGACAGCGGGTCTGATTACGGTGCAATCCTAGCTACCCTTTGGGGGATGACCTTCTGCAACATGCCATCGCAACTTGACTTGAGGTAACTTATTACCAGGATGCCAGGTAGTAGATCTCCTCAGAAGTGTAGATCTACACTCATTTTTCCTTGTGTTTTACAATCCTTGCTAAAGATAGTTGCAACACCACGACATTCATGTTAAAAAGTTGATAACCTCAGCACTTAACTAACCTCTCAAGTCATCAATGTCTATGCTATATTACCACCCCCCCCCCTTCCCCCCCCCCCCTTCCCCCCCTAGTACATTTTTGACTCTTTAATTAGAAGCGTTTATGCTTTCCTTTTATCCACGTGTGGATCCGAGTAAATTTAACAATCTGCTGTAGCAGAACACGCTTCTTGTGCATACAACATGACGGATATAACCTGCTACTCCGAGCTTTATTCTTAACGCAGGTGTTGCTGTAGAAAAACATAACACTAAGATATTTTGCACAACCAACGTTTGCTATCTTCTACCTGTTTAATCTGCCAATTAACATGCGGAAGACTAGCGTTACAAGCCGCTTTCGTTTACTATTTCTGCATTGTTATGCATTATTTCTGCAAGGGTGGGGGATGGGGGGTAATCACCCCTATACCTTGGTCAAAACATGGTCTACATATTTTTTTTAAAAAACGGATTAAAAAGGGCTTGGTAGGGGTAGATCATATTTCCTAAGGAAAATTAATCTGGTTCAAGGCACTGAAACGAGACAAAACGGGGTGTGGTCAAACTTGCCACCTGCTTAAAACGGTTTACGTCATAAAATCTTATAAAACTTGTCGTACAGAAGATAATCGCACTTCATACAGAAGATGATCGAACTTCATACTAAAGATGATCGCACTTCATACAGAAGATAATCGCATTCTATACAGAAGATGATCGCACTTTATACAGAAAGAATCGCACTTCATACAGAAGATAATCACACTTCATACAGAAGATAATCGCACTTCATACAGAAGATAATCGCACTTCATACAGAAGATAATGGCACTTCATCAAGACGGACTCTTGTTAAGCCGTACTAATACTTCCTGTCCATGTAGCCAGAAAACAGTCAATTTTACTCTCTACCACCAAATTCAACATCTGCCTCAGTGGCGGAAATTAAGGGGGCATTAATTAAACCTTACTCATTCGGCATGTGCTAAATTGGATTATTTTCTTACCCCCTTGCAGGTTCTTAGGGGAAATGTACACATAGCTATGAATATCTAAAGCTTTTTATTTGGTGTCTGTAACAATTACTTATTGAATGCATCTATTCCTATTTCTGACAGTGATGGGTTGTGCATCACCTAAGCTCCCACCCAGTGCCGTTATCAGAAGGAACAAAAAAGACCGTTACACGTATGGGGATCGAGTTTATTTTGCTTGCAAAAGAGGATATGGTGCCTTTGGGTCTTCTTACGTCAAATGTATGAGGAATGGATGGTCGAAAGCAAAACTTCACTGCAGACGTATGTATTTACCATAAATGTAGAAAACAGATTGTTTTTAATCTTATTTATTTGTTGTTGTTTAAGTAGAACTATTTTGGACTTTTGACCCTGTTATAATTAGATATGATTAGCATTGTTTAGACATGTCCTCGGGGACACGTGACATTTCTTCTCGTTATAAGCGTGTCTTCGAGGATTTGCATTATAGCCCTATATAAGCTTTGGGCGTGTTTTACCCAGGGAGAAAAGAGAACAGCATCGATAGTAGTACGTACGAGTTACCGTTGCAAGCAATTGAAGATACCGTTTTCGGCCTAGTATTTAGCCTGTTGCTTAGATAATGCTACGAGGTCAAATAAATACGAACTGATGTAGCTTCAAAGAAAATCTGCTACTGAGGAGGGCACGAACTAATCAGAAATGAACCCAGATACCACTAAGCAAACACAACGCTGGCGTTCTTTCTATCTTGATAATTCTTTAAATCTCCCATAATTACATTGACATCAAAATTTGGTTCATCCGCTCTTTTCTTGTTCAATTGTTTCTTTCGATGGTAGGGTAATATTCTGCTTTTGGCTTGCCATTGGATAACATTGTCAAAAAGGCTAGTAACAAAAAAAATTTCCAAAGATGTCTGACAAACCAGATCTTGAGGAAGTCACCAAATTCGACAAGACTAAATTGAAGCATGCAGGAACCAAAGAGAAAAATACCCTACCATCGAAAGAAACAATTGAACAAGAAAAGAGCGGATGAACCAAATTTTGATGTCAATGTCATTGGGGTTTAGGCGTGTTTTACCCAGGGAGAAAAGAGAACAGCATCAAAAGTAGTACGTACGAGTTACCGTTGCAAGCAATTGAAGATACCGTTTCCGGCCTAGTATTTGACCTCGTAGCATTATCTAAGCAACAGGCTAAATACTAGGCCGAAAACGGTATCTTCAATTGCTTGCAACGGTAACTCGTACGTACTACTATCGATGCTGTTCTCTTTTCTCCCTGGGTAAAACACGCCCAAAGCTTATATAGGGCTATAATGCAAATCCTCGAAGACACGCTTATAACGAGAAGAAATGTCACGTGTCCCCGAGGACATGTCTAAACAATGCTAAACATATCTAATTATAACAGGGTCAAAAGTCCAAAATAGTTCTACTTAAACAACAACAAATAAATAAGATTAAAAACAATCTGTTTTCTACAATAAATACTGCAATGGACGGAAGCGTTATGAAACACGATACATACTTATAAGTAACGTACTGGAAGCGAAACTCGTATTAGTTAGAACCGATAAGAACATTCTGTAGAAAATACGTAAAAGGTTCTACAATATGTTTCTTAAGATTTTCTACAATATATGTCATAGGAGTCTCTACAATATTTGTCATAGGAGTTTCTACAATATTTGTCATAGGAGTTTCTAGCATATCTAGTACGTGACAGAAGTAATATAACATTTAGACTTACAAAGTAGCAATATCTGGTATAAGTGCAATGCGAGAGATTGTGTTTATAACAAGCTCTCTGATAAACCTAAGAAGAATACATCTTGGGGGTCTAGTCAATTGAAAATCTTGAAAGGTTGATTAAATATATAATAAGTTTTGTTGAAGGACCACCCTTAGCATCGAGCCCGTATAATGATTTGCTTTCATGAAAATGTCTCATTTTAGTGCTACCTACTGCTTTTCTATCTAAACCTTTAAGAATATATCTGAGAATAAATGATTTCTATTCTTGTTATAGCAAAAAGCTGTGGAAGCCCAGGTCAGCTTAGAAATGGCCGTGTAATTGCAAGTTTTTATACGTATGGTAACAAGGTTACGTACGTGTGTAACAAAGGTTATAGATTGATAGGGTTGGAAACAAGAACATGTTTGAGTAAGCAAAAGTGGAGTGGCAGAAGGCCGATTTGTAAAGGTCAGTAAAATCACAAAGATGCTAGCTTACGCTTTTGTGTGTAGAACAGGATGATGCCGGATTGCAACTCTGAGTTCAACATTTAATGTCATTATCAGGTAACTGTGACAAATCAGAGGCAATTCACCCCATTTATTCTATATCCAAATTTGCAAATTTAAATTAAGCTGTTTTTGTTTCATAGTCAAACATTGTGATCCAAAACCACAATTGGAAAATGGAAAATATGAAGGATTATCGACAGCATATGGAACAAAGAGAAGTGCCAAATGTAACATTGGCTATATGTTGCAAGGGAGCAGTCAAATCATTTGCAATGGTGATAATTGGGAATATGATAGAGCGATATCAAAATGCGGTAATATTTAAACATATTGAGTAAAAATATTTCCAACGCTAAAATCTCATAAAAGTTTCTCTTGCTAAAATCTCAAAATATCTACTTGGGTCACATTTAGGAACACTTTTTGACTTCAGTTCTACGCTTAATGTCATTATCAGGTAACTGTGACAAATCTGAGGCAATTCACCCCTTTTATTCTATATCCAAATTTGCAAAATAGAGTACCACCAAATGCCTGTTAAAGCATTTCAACAATGGTTTTATTTTCTTTCTATGTGCCTAAACTTGAGCGTTCACTAAAAGGAAAGTTGGTATAAATAGATGCATTGTGTCCGTCTCCATTTCAGCATTCTATTTGCTTTAGGTGAAGATCAACCTCAAATTTTGTTTAACGTTGTGTTGTATTGAGAGCTACGTCACATAAAACTCTCAACGTTACATTAAGCTGTTTTTGTTTCATAGTCAAACATTGTCGTCCAACCCCACACTTAGAAAATGGAAAATTTGAAGGATTATCAACAGCATATGGAGCAAAGAGAAGTGCCAAATGTAACATTGGCTATATGTTGCAAGGGAGCAGTCAAATCATTTGCAATGGTGATAATTGGGAATATGATAGAGCGATATCAAAATGCGTTGGTAAGATTTAAAGATATTGAGTAAAAATATTTCCAACGCTAAAATCTCATAAAAATTTCTATTGCTAAAATCCCAAAATATCTACTTGAGACGCATTTAGGAACACTTTTTGACTTGAGTTCCACGCTTAATGTCATCCTCTGGCATCTGTGACAAATCTGAGGCAATTCACCCCTTTTATTCTATACCCAAATTTGCAAAATAGAGTACCACTATATGCCTGTTAAAAAATGTCAACAATGGTTTTATTTTCTTTCTTTGTGCCTAAACTTGAGCCTTCACTAAAAGTAAAGTTGGTATAAATAGATGTATTGTGTCCGTCTCCATTTCAGCATTCTATTTGCTTTAGGTGAAGATCAACCTCAAATTTTGTTTAACGTTGTGTTGTATTGAGAGCTACGTCACATAAAACTCTCAACGTTACATTAAGCTGTTTTTGTTTCATAGTCAAACATTGTCGTCCAACCCCACACTTAGAAAATGGAAAATTTGAAGGATTATCAACAGCATATGGAGCAAAGAGAAGTGCCAAATGTAACATTGGCTATATGTTGCAAGGGAGCAGTCAAATCATTTGCAATGGTGATAATTGGGAATATGATAGAGCGATATCAAAATGCGTTGGTAAGATTTAAAGATATTGAGTAAAAATATTTCCAACACTAAAATCTCATAAAAATTTCTCTTGCTAAAATCCCAAAATATCTACTTGAGACGCATTTAGGAACACTTTTTGACTTGAGTTCCACGCTTAATGTCATCCTCTGGCATCTGTGACAAATCTGAGGCAACTCACCCCTTTTATTCTATACCCAAATTTGCAAAATAGAGTACCACTATATGCCTGTTAAAAAATGTCAACAATGGTTTTATTTTCTTTCTTTGTGCCTAAACTTGAGCCTTCACTAAAAGTAAAGTTGGTATAAATAGATGTATTGTGTCCGTCTCCATTTCAGCATTCTATTTGCTTTAGGTGAAGATCAACCTCAAATTTTGTTTAACGTTGTGTTGTATTGAGAGCTATGTCACATAAAACTCTCAACGCTACATTAAGCTGTTTTTGTTTCATAGTCAAACATTGTCGTCCAACCCCACACTTAGAAAATGGAAAATTTGAAGGATTATCAACAGCATATGGAGCAAAGAGAAGTGCCAAATGTAACATTGGCTATATGTTGCAAGGGAGCAGTCAAATCATTTGCAATGGTGATAATTGGGAATATGATAGAGCGATATCAAAATGCGTTGGTAAGATTTAAAGATATTGAGTAAAAATATTTCCAACGCTAAAATCTCATAAAAATTTCTATTGCTAAAATCCCAAAATATCTACTTGGGACGCATTTAGGAACACTTTTTGACTTGAGTTCCACGCTTAATGTCATCCTCTGGCATCTGTGACAAATCTGAGGCAATTCACCCCTTTTATTCTATACCCAAATTTGCAAAATAGAGTACCACTATATGCCTGTTAAAGAATGTCAACAATGGTTTTATTTTCTTTCTTTGTGCCTAAACTTGAGCCTTCACTAAAAGGAAAGTTGGTATAAATAGATGTATTGAGTCAGTCTCCATTTAAGCATTCTATTTGCTTTAGGTGAAGATCAACCTTAAAATTTGTTTAACGCTGTGTTGTATTTAGAGCTACGTCACATAAAACTCTCAACGTTACATTAAGCTGTTTTTGTTTCATAGTCAAACATTGTCGTCCAACCCCACACTTAGAAAATGGAAAATTTGAAGGATTATCAACAGCATATGGAGCAAAGAGAAGTGCCAAATGTAACATTGGCTATATGTTGCAAGGGAGCAGTCAAATCATTTGCAATGGTGATAATTGGGAATATGATAGAGCGATATCAAAATGCGTTGGTAAGATTTAAAGATATTGAGTAAAAATATTTCCAACGCTAAAATCTCATAAAAATTTCTATTGCTAAAATCCCAAAATATCTACTTGGGACGCATTTAGGAACATTTTTTGACTTGAGTCAACGCTTAATGTCATCCTCTGGCATCTGTGACAAATCTGAGGCAATTCACCCCTTTTATTCTATACCCAAATTTGCAAAATAGAGTACCACTATATGCCTGTTAAAGAATGTCAACAATGGTTTTATTTTCTTTCTATGTGCCTAAACTTGAGCGTTCACTAAAAGGAAAGTTGGTATAAATAGATGTATTGAGTCAGTCTCCATTTAAGCATTCTATTTGCTTTAGGTGAAGATCAACCTTAAAATTTGTTTAACGCTGTGTTGTATTTAGAGCTACGTCACATAAAACTCTCAACGTTACATTAAGCTGTTTTTGTTTCATAGTCAAACATTGTCATACAAAACCAAAATTGGAAAATGGAAAATATGAAGGATTATCAACAGCATATGGAGCAAAGAGAAGTGCCAAGTGTAACATTGGCTATATGTTGCAAGGGAGCAGTCAAATCATTTGCAATGGTGATAATTGGGAATATGATAGAGCGATATCAAAATGCGTTGGTAAGATTTAAACATATTGAGTAAAAATATTTCCAACGCTAAAATCTCATAAAAGTTTCTCTTGCTAAAATCTCAAAATATCTACTTGGGACGCATTTAGGAACACTTTTTGACTTGAGTTCAACGCTTAATGTCATCATCAGGCAACTGTGACAAATCAGAGGCAATTCACCCCTTTTATCCTTTATCCAAATTTGCAAAATGGATTATTAATATTTGCCTGGAAAATCATTTCATCAATGGTTTTTTTTCATATATTTGTGCCTAAGGCCCTGTTAACACGATACCGGGTTCATTTCTTAACGGATTCACTGACCCAATCCGATATGAAAATTAAGCTCTGTTCACACGATACCGGATTCATTTCGTATCGGATTCACTCCTGTTCACACGATGACGCTAAGCTTCAACACTGCTCCAAAAAATCCATTGTCTTGAAGTCGCATTGCAACGTGGAATGTTGTTCGTTGATTTCATTAAATAAACCTCTTTCGGTACAGTGTCCTACTGAAACATTTTGTAGGTATCATTCGATCAATGTAAATAGGACCATCGTGGTTTTGTCTTCTAAGGAGGGCAGGTCTAATTGCAATTTGCAAAATGATTATCGATTTTTTTTGTTCCCAATTTTGTGTTTAAGAATGTAAGGCCTGGAAGGTGAACTGAAAAGCAAAATAAAATTTACCACAAATGAAAGTTTATCGAAAATAAATATCTGAGACATTATCAGTTTTTTAATATTCAATACAGCTTTCGAGTTTTTGTGTTCAAAGTTAGCCACCGCATATTTTCCGAGCACGTACGAGTTTGCTCGAGCCTTCCCCATAATCGTGACGTCACAAGCACCATGTTCAAATCACTTGAGGAGCATGACAATCTTGAAGGCTGTGCCTTTATGATTCTGTGGAAGAGCATCGATACATTAATTGAGTAGCTTTTGGCTTTATTTCGACAAAATGATTGGAAATAGATCATGACTTGCAAACCTTTTATGATAAGAATTGCAAGAAAATCATCTGTTTGAGCCCCTTCCTCCGTATCGCGGGACCTAGTATGTGGCGGGCCAACATATCAAATAAAGGTAGCGAAAAATGAATTGGGAAGATTGGAAAAAGGAATGGAAGTCGATTTTAATTTTCGGCACTGAACATCTTTGTAGGTGATAAAGCAGTTTTCAACTACAAAACAATTCCTTCGTGAGATCTACTAAATTGTCCACGTTGAATTTTTCTTATTTTCTGAAAACCTAACACAATTAACTTCAATGTATACTGTAAATTTCGAATTTAAGTCACTTTTTATTAGCAAATTCATATTCAATAACATGAAAATATTTTAGGGGTTAATAGCCTGGTACGATGGAGTCGTTATTTGCAAGAAAACAACTTCGTAAAATATTCAACCACCAGGCCATTGCATCCCTGTGACTTGCATACTTGACCTGTCCCTCAACGTCACTGGACATAAACTGCATTATGAGCAATAATTTTGTAAAGTTTACAGATAAGAAACGAAATTTTTGGAAAAAAAACAAAATAGATATTTTAAACTTTAAATAGCTTTCAATAACTTTCAATTGTTTCCAACAACTAGCAACACAGACTATGCTATTCTCGTAATATTTCTGTTGCAGAGGTACCAATAGAAGTAAAGATTAAGATGCGTTATGTTGGCTGCTTCAAAGACAGAATAGGGCGCGCTTTGCTTCCGATGACTATATTGAGGGTTGCTTCTTTGAAGAAGGGCGAGACATTCATCTCAAAGTGCCTTACCCTCTGCAAAGAGAGAAACCAGCCGTATGCTGGTCTGCAGTTTCACGAGGAGTGTTATTGCTTCCAGAATTACAAGCGGTACGGCCAGGCTCCTGAATCGGACTGCAACAGACAATGCATGGATTCAAGAGGCAAATGTGGAGGCGCATTGAGAAATTCTGTCTACAACACTATGAAATGGCCCTCGTTTTCCTTTGACTAACTACCGTTTTCCAACAAAGACAGCCTAGCTGTGAACACAATTACTTCCAATCATTCCTAACTAAATCTAAAACACAATCAAATTACATTAAAGTTATGGTTATAGCAGAGCTGAAGGTCAAAGATCTTTTACATAACTTAATTTGCTCCTTGCACATATTTTTACTTATCAAATAAATTTCAGCATATTTACGTTTTCAATACCAAATATAAGACTTTATTTTTAGAAAAACTGCTGTTTCAATGTAAACTATAGATTCTAGACTAGCGATTCTAAGCTAGCGATTCTAGACTAACGATTCTAGATTAGCAATTCTAGATTAGCGATTCTAGACTAGTGATTTTAGACTAGCGATTCTAAGCTAGCGATTCTAGATTAGCGATTCTAAGCTAGCGATTCTAGACTAGCGATTCTAGACTAGCGATTGTAAGCTAGCGATTATAGACTAGCGATTCTATAAGCTAGCGATTCTAAACTAACGATTCTAGACTGGCGATCCCAGATTAGCGATTTTAGATTAGCGATTCTAAGATTCGCTGTCTGAGCAATTATGACAGGGCATTGTTTCGCAACGACCTGCAGCAAATAGATTGGGAAACCATCCTTAACTCTTACGCTGATAATCCTGATAAGATGGCTACCACTTTTCAGGAGATTTTTGAGTCGGTTTAAGATATCCATGCACCCCTGAAGAAAAGGAAGTTAGGCAATACCTCTACTCCCTGGATCACCCCAGACATCAGGAACTAATGAAAGAGAGGGACGTAGCTAAAAAAGCGGTGAAAGCATCTCCTGAAAGATGGAACACATACAAGCACCTCCGTAATAAGGTGACGCATAAAATTCGAGCCGCAATACAATCACATTATCTTGATCTAATCGAAGAAAATAAGGGAAATCCTAAAAGAATGTGGCAGGTTATTAATAAGGTGTTAGACAGAGCAACCCCTTCAACAGAAATTTCGAGCTTAGATGTTGAAGGAAAAACAATTACAAAAGAAAAAGATATAGCTGAAGCACTAAATCATCACTTTACCTCACATCATAGAATCATCACATCATAGGACCGTAACTTGCTATCAAGTTAGAGTCTAGGCCTGATGACGATTCTCTCAAGCATATCAATGTTCGGCAAAACAAAATGATATTTCTACATATCGATGAAACATATGTGCTAAATGCCATCAAATAATTTGAAAATAGTAAGGCACCGGGCCCGGACAAGATCTCCTCTACGCTAATTAAAGATGCCGCAGACTTCATTTGGAAACCACTAACCATGATTTTCAACTCTTCATTAAAGTATGGTGCTTTCCCAGATATCTGGAAATTTGTAAAAGTCACATCGATTTTTAAATCAGGCTCAAAAAGGGATGGAAACAATTATAGACCTATATTTGTCATCTCAGTTTTCTCTCGGCTGTTGGAAAGAATAGTTCATGATCAGCTTGCTAAATATCTCATAGCGAACAAAGTATTGACCCCAAATCAATCTGCTTTTCGAAAACTGTATTCTACTATAACATCCTTAATAAATGGTACTGACTATTGGTATGAGAACATGGACAAAAAACAGCTCAACTTGGCCACATTTCTGGATTTGAAAAAGGCATTTGATACCATAGATCATGCAATACTGATGAAAAAGTTAAATGCACTCGGTATGAGGGGAATCTCGGGAGCATGGTTCACATCCTTCTTAAGTAATAGAAAACAATTCTGCTCAGTTAATGGACAACAGTCGGGGGCTAGATTGGTAGCATGTGGCATACCTCAAGGATCATGCTTGGGATCACTCCTGTTTATCAACTTCCTAAATGACTTTGAAAAGTGCTTAGAATTCTCTAAGGCTAGCATGTATGCAGATGACACACATCTACACTGCCAGGACAAAAGTATTGCAACACCTGCGAAGGCGGTTAATGGCGGATCACGCAATAACTTTTGTTTTTGTCTGATTAAGCTATTGTTTAATCAGCCAATGGCACGCAAAAAAATTGCAAATTCAATGAAGCGTTAATTCGAATATTCCATTTTCATTTTTCAAAATTTTAAACCAGCAATGCAAGTAACTTTTAAATAAACAGACATTTTGTGGAGGTGCTTTTAGCTCTGATAAGTACGAAAAATTGCTTTGGAATTGATGCACAAAATTTGTTAATGAAATGCCCTGGGATTCTGTTTCATTCTCAACAAACTCTCTAAGTCAGTTTTTGTTTGGACCTTAAAGAATCTTGTGGATTTCAAATCAGATCATTTTCATTGGCAACAAGAAATTTTTGCTTATTTTAAGGTTAAGTCTTTGTGATGGCCGAGGAAGGACATAGAGTTTGCAGATTTTCAGGTAAATTTGAGTAAAAATGGCTTTGTAAGTGGGATGTGTTGCTTTTTATGACAAAAACTGCCTTCCTCATATTCCTAGCATTGATTTGATTCCACCAAAGAAACTGTTTTGCATTATTTTGACACGTTTCACTGCATTAACTCGCACGTCGCTAGTTTATGATTTACTAATTTATATGGGCCTAACTGTACCCAAAACAATTACCCAAGGTGAAATGGAAAATTTCGGGGCTAAAGAAGTCGGGAATATTGACTTAATTTGTTGTTTCCTGATCTTTCACTATTTTGCTTTCATTTTCTGAGAAAAATTTTAAAATCTTTAGAAGTAAAAGACCAGTTACACGAAGTTTTATCACAACTACTAACTCCTTATCCTCTCGATATTTTGATTTTACCACAGCAGATATATTTTCTTATAACTGTAAGATTTCTTAGGTTAATATTGTAATTCTGGGTATTTCGAAATCTTCGATAAATTTCAAAGAATTTGACTACTGGTTTAGCCTTATTATTTTCTCTTTTAAGGGGAATATTTCAGCGTAAAGATATTAGTTTACAAAACTTCAATTTTTTTGGATGCCATTTTCAATTGGGTGTTGCAATACTTTTGTCCTGGTAGTGTAGTAACATTGAGGATCTACTTACAAATGCCCACAAAGAATTAACAAATATCTCGGAATGGATGCGGATATACAAACTAAGCGCAAACCCGAAAAAAATTGAATAAATGATTATTGGCCATCCACGGAGGACAAATAAAGTTGAAATCTCAGAACCACTGCACCTAAATGATTCAGAAATAAAGCGAGTTGCAAAGTCCAAATCATTAGGGGTTATGGTGGACGAAGGGCTAAACTGGGATGACCAATTCAGCAAAGTGAAAGAAAAGATTAATGGCGGTCTGAAGTCGCTAAAAAAACTGAAAAATCTTATTTCACAATCCCAGCTCGACCATGTATACCGTGCACTTATCGAAAGCCATCTGAGATACGCTAATGTTATTTGGGGAAGTCTTCCTTAATCAAAATTGAATACACTCCGACGTCTGCAGGACAGAGCACGCTCGATTATTGATAAGGCCAGACTAAAAGACAACTGATCTCATACCTGGCTTACCGTTGAGCAACTAACAAAGTTCGATGGATCAGTTATGACATACAAAATAATCAGCAGACAATGTCCCGAAAGCCTTTGGGATAAATATCATCATAGGACCCAGCACTCCAACTACCGAACAAAGAATTGCCGAGACCTACAAATCCCAAGAAATAACCTTGAATACGTCAAGAAAGGGTTTCATTATTCGGCTCTGAAAGCCTGGAACGATATTTCAATCAATATCAGAGAGCTCTCTATACTACAGTAAATTCAAAAAGCAATTGAAAAGTTATTATTCGAGCTGAACGCAACAAAAAACACGACTCCCTGGAAGAGCAGCTGATATAAGATAGATTATTGTGCATAATTTAGCTTCAACTGTATATAAATTATATTAATGTAACTATTTATTTTCTGATTTGGTATTTAGTTGTAAGCTGAAGGGATTATTGTGTATAAAGAATATAAAATGAAAATGAAAATGAAAATTAATTCTAGACTATCGATTCTAGACTAGCGATTCTAGACTAGCGATTCTAGATTAGCGATTCTAGATTAGCGATTCTAGATTAGCGATTCTAGAGTAGCGATTCTAGATTAGCGATTCTAGATTAGCGATTCTAGGCTGCCGATTCTAGACTAGCGATTCTAAGCTAGCGATTGTACGCTAGCGATTATAATGATAATAATAGTCAATTTATTTACAGTAGGCGGTTATAATACAGTTATCTATGTACAATTTATGTACAAGCTAATTTAGGCCTACTTTCCAAAAATTTAGAATAAAAAGCAATTGAGGATGAATAATTTATAATTACATATATAAAACAATTAGTTAAATAATAAAAGAAATTAAATTGAAGATTTGAAAAAGACCTTTTTAAATTTTACAATGCGTCTATAGTTAAAAGATGTTTTAAAATTTTCACACCAAGACAACTATTTTTTTATATTCTAGTCAAGGAATGCAACCTGAGCTACGTAGCATCTACATAATTTGCGACAACATTCTTCTCCTTTCCATTTTTTTATCCGAGTTTCAAACTGGGCAAGATTTGATCATTCTTTTATTTCTGTGGACAACTTATGCCATAGTTTCCCCCTAGATATGAAATGGTTTCTATCCATCATCCTTTCGCACCATCCTCAAATTCTGCGGTACCAAAAACATATTTGGATATTTAGCTGCATTAGCTTTAGAGTATGGAGGAATTGGATTTTTGGAATCACTACGCATTGTGCAAAACTATGAATAGCAAGTGAAATGACTGTTCTTCAGTGACACTGACATTGCCAATTAAAACTAAGAGCATGCTTTGCTGTTACCTTTCTCAGCTCTTTCTATAACATGCCATTTTCTTAATTCTACTGCAGTCTGGCATTGTTTCTAACACGTGCCGGGTCATGAATTCTACGTCTGCCATGCAAAGTAGAGGGAGTGTTTGATGTTTCATCTCCAGGCTACGCACTTTATAATCGATTGCTTTCAACATTGACCACTACAAGTTTGGAAGATTGTTTTGAAAATTGCAGAGTTAGTGACAAATGTAAATCTGTAAATTTCAAAAAATCTGGTGAAGGTAACTACGAGCTGAATAATCAAACAATGGAGAATACTAACCCGGTGGATTTCAAGAACAAAGATGGCTAGACCTATTATGCTACAAATTACAACAAGAAAAATGTATGTTTATGAAAGTAAAACGATTCATCAAACTGTTGAGACAAGACTTAAATTTTCATATCGGTTGTAAAAATCCGAGTTTTTCTTTCAACTTTTAGCATTTGAGAAGTAATCGTGAGTAAGTGTGAGAAGGAAGAACCGCAGGATAGGCTGTCCGCCGGATTCTGTGAATCTTGCAATGAGATTTTAAAACGAAAGGTATACAGGAACAAAGCAATACGACGACGAGAATCCAATGTCACGAAATAAATTTTCAAAATAAATTAAATTTAAGAGTATACTAATATTTTGCCCCGGCATACAGGGCTATACACCTTACCCTTCCCATTTCTCCAAGCGCTTCGTTCCCAGATCCATGACAAACCATGTCTATCCCCACCCGCTCAATTCAGGTGCCTCCATAGATTCTACAATACTAAAGAGATTTGGCATTGAAAAAGCAAAATTGCAGCAACTACCAGAAGACACATAATGCTTATAGAAGAGTATTACAATACTAAAAACCACAACATAACAGTAACAAAGATTTTGATTCAGGAAATCTCTTTGAATTTTGTTCATTATGAGAAGTTTTGAGTTTTGTTCATAATCCAGTTAGTTTGATAGGCGACACCCAAATTTTCGAAAATGTTGAAGTGATAACAAACCCTTAGAATAGACCCTGGAGGGAAGGTACCCAATCGCAGCTCACGGGTGTTTCCCTATGTTCCTACATGTGACCCTCCATAACTTCAGAAATTAATTCTAAATATTTTTATCAAGCGATTGATTTCATTTCTTTTAGTGAGTAATATATCATTAAACAAGCCAGCAGCTCTATCGACACAGTTTGGTACAAGAACACCCGCAGACAACGCAGTGGATGGTAGCTTAGTAGGGATACACGAAACCTGTGCCATTACAAAATACCTGAGTTCACCTAGTCCTTGGTTTCGCGTTGATCTTCAACAGACACTTCCTGTTCGATCGGTTGCTTTGCAAAACAGAGATATCCCTTACTACTGGAATCGAATGAACCCATTTGATGTTCGCGTCGGCATGAGTCTGGAGAATGATGGTAGAGTGAATCCTAAATGCATCAACGGTGCCAGGTTTACCCAGATAAACCAATATCTCCGTTTGGAATGTCCTTCAGTAATGTATGGCCGGCAGGGGCGTAACTTGGCCAATAGGTTTGGGGGGGGGGTGAAAAGGGTTTCTGCCCTGCAAAACTGACTGGTGCCCTGCAGACCTCGTAGCAACGGTTTGTCTATAGGTTACTAGTGAAAGCTTTACCAGTGTACACTGGTCTTTACCAAGGACAAACTTCTAAGCAATAAAAACAAACTTGAAACTTCATTGCCTATGAAATATCTATTTCTCTACGTGAGCGTAATTTTTTTTATATTCACTTCATTTAATGTTGGTTTGCAAAATACTAGCTAATAAACAGCTAATGGGGGGGGGGATACATGATGCAGACAGCGCAACGAAATTTAGCTCAGGGGGACTAAGAATCAAGTTTAGTGAGGTAGGAGGACCCACCATGGTTGCGTCCGACGTGAAGAAAATTTTGAAATTATACCTTCTAAAAGGGCTAAAAAGCATCTTTCAGACAAAAATTTAGCAAAATACTATTGTGCTAAAAGAACTGATTGTTTATTGAAAATATTATTGTTTATTGGAAAAAATAGGGAGGGTGAATATCATGCTAAAACTCTAGTGTTAAACGTTGGGGAAGGAAAGAAACGGCAACCTTTCGTTTCAGATTGCACGTAGTTGTGAATGACAGAGGAAAATGTTGTTTTGATGTGAGGAATTTTTTTTCCTGAACAGAAATGTGCAGTTTCTTGTATCGAGAAGGACATGTTTACACATAAAAAATTAAAACATTGCAATGATACAGAAAATGATTTACTGAATTAATGCAAATGAAAGAAAAATGATAAAAAGATACGTGAAAAAGTTAGCAATTAGATGAAACAAATTCGGTATCTTAACGATTTATTATGTTTTTTAGTTCATGCACTGTTAAAAAGTAATAGAAAAAATGATAAAAAATTCTTATCTTGATCAAAGTGAGGGCCTTCAGCCCCCTATTCACCCCAGTGACGCCGTGCCTGTCACGAAAATAATTTACAACTTAAATTAATTTGCATGGACTCAATTTTGCCCTCATAAACATATGCATCCATCATTGCATCCATTGGCTATGACTTTCGGTAAGAAATGCTTTCGCCTTGCAAATAACGGAGCTTTTATTTACATACCTGTTCCGTTCTCTAAAATACAATGTCAGGAAGGGGGGTTTATAAAAAATACGATACTTCCATTTAAAAATTCCTAAACGGCCCTTTACGAACTGCAGAGGTGGCATTTCTGCGTGGCAATAAAGCTCTTCTTGGCGCCCTGCGAAATCTTCGATTGCCCTGCGAAATCGACTATTTTTTGGATTGGGGGGTGTCACACCCCCCCACACCCCTCCCCCCGGTATTTTCGCCCCTGATGGCCGGTACGTCATTGTGTTGGCTGAGTCTTCAGACATAATGGAGCTTTGCGAATCAGAAGTTTATTCATAGACGTAGGAACTGGACGCAGAGGAGGCACAAGAGGCACAGGGAACGCAGGGGGCACATAGGGGCAAAGGGGGCACAGGGGACACAGGGGATATTTGTAATTAATCAGACGTACTAAATTTTTGCCTAAAAATGGTACAAAGTTTTTAAAGTTTGCAAAAATATGACTTCAATAAATACTCTGAAATGTGTCTGAAGCTAAACTAAAGGGTGCTTTTGCAAAAAAATTAATACTTGCTTCTCTCGCTGGAGTCCACATCTTTCTGTTTTGTCCTGGGGCCAAGGACTTCTCGCCGGCTCTGCTCACAACTAAGCCTGGAAATATATATATATCAGTGTAGAGACGCCAACCTGTCTAGCACTTTGTAGAAAGTTTACTAGGGTGCCCCTTAAAACCTGTGCCCTCCCCCACTTTAACCCTATCCAGACTAGGAGTGGTACAAAGTTCCCCCAGTTGGTTTTTCTTTCATAACTTCACGAGATTCAAAGCAATACCCCTCAGACCTCCAGAATTTTAGTTTTAACCTGTTTGACACATGTTCATATAAAAAGATAAAATTTTTGTTGTTGATCAAGGGGCTATGTAGGGACGTTTTCAAAGCTAGTCAAGTAAAAAAAAGTTTAATCTGCCACAGATTCGCAACAAAAGTAGATACATTGATGAAAATTAGTATCAAGGCATTAATTTGTGCCCTTCTCATTATTCTGACCAGAAAAAATAAATTCAACATCGATTTCTATGGTTTTTATGATGCGCATGCGCATACATTTGTTGACATATGTCTAGGTGTTAATTTAATAAAACTACAAGTTGATGGTATGAGCCGAGGCAGTTTAGATTAATCTGTCTGCTGAGACATTAAAAATGAACTTAAACATGACATTTAGTTATATCGATCATTTAGTTATATAGAAAGAACTACAGCCAAATACAAAATATGTTGAATGCTTTTGTTGGAACTTTAATTATTTTGAGAAATAACATTGAAATTGTGTCATTCGTCTTGTTTCTGTTAGATAATGCATCAAGTTTGCTTATTTAAAAATCTCGATGCTTTGGAATTCGTTAATTTTGTAAGATTTTCTAAAATCTTTTAAATTTTTGCTTCATCAAATTTTTAAATTTTGAACTTATGGTGACGTTATTGTTAAACCTCGTGACTTAAAAATGAAACAATTGTACTAAAATGTGGAGAATAGATAAGAGTACCATCCAAACAAAGTTTATTGTCCTAGCTAGAGGGACAAAGAAATTACGGAATCTCCCCAAAGTCTCCCCAAAGTTTCAAAAAGCCTAGTATGGATAGGGTTAATAATCCTTTACGTTTTCAATTTTTCATGAAAACAATTGTTAGATTTTGTACACACTCATATATTGTTAAAAGTAATATATTGATTATAACTCTAAGCTTGTAAACAATTTACCATTGTTGAACAATTTCTTCCTCTCTTGCATGTGGAGGTTTGTCTTAAAGGGGGATCTATTTATGTAAGATGTTGGCTACTGGGTTTTCTCTACCTCAATAAAAATTTGTAAAATCTTGTCACCGTCAAATAAAATTTGCAACAACGCTTTATTTGCCAAATTTTGATTTCAACAAGCAGGGTCCCACTTACCACAAAGGCTATTGGGCAACAAGATAGATGTTTCTTCTGTTAAAAAAGGTTGCTTTATGTAATAATACTATTAATAGCATTTTTATCAAATGTTATAGAAATCGAGATTTGCACTTCAGAAAAAGGATTAAAATTTTCCACGTAAAATTCATTACAAGCATATAGAACACCTAAGCTTCACGTGGCGTTACAATTAACAGTTTTATCTTAACATGTCATTGCAGCAACCATTTCGTATCGTTCCATATGATCATTTGTGATAAAAAAGTCGTATTCCAACATTATCATGCTATGCGTTGATCAAGAAAATTTTGGATTTATCTTGTAAATCCCTGATAAACAATGCAACCTGTGATAGTGGACACTTCTGTCCAATGGCTACCTCCAGACCTGGGCCAGTGGAGAAAGTCCCTACCAAATTTATGGTCAAACTCTCAAAAAATACCCGCTCAGCAGCACCTCTAAACAAATATAAACCTGCCAATGTGCCCAATCCCTAATTTTACTCCCATTGACGGTCAAGCAGGAAGAGGCACTTAGAAAATATGCATTTCTTTAAAGCATCATTAATTTTTCAAATTTTGGCAAGGCCTTCAACTTGTAAGTGTGTCTTGTTGATTGCTAATCATTAAGGTTTCTTGCACTTTTTTAAAACTTACTCTCAATGGAAAAATTTCTTTTTTTACTCCTTCTCCTCTTCTCCGACCAGCTATTTTTGATGAAAAGAAAAACCTCCACATAACGGTCAACTCTGAAACAATAACCACTAAGCTTGGCGCAATGCTGGCGCAATCCTTATGGACCTCTCGAAAGCCTTCGATTGTATTCAACATGACCTCCTTATAGCAAAACTAGATGCCTACGGATTCAGTCATGAAGCACTGTGTCTTGTTAACAGCTAGTTGGAAAATAGGCATCAGAGAGTTAAGATTAATGGAACATTCAGTACCTACAAACAACTTTTCCTTGGTGTTCCGCAAAGATCAGTTCTTGGTCCCCTCTTCTTTAACATCTACATAGTTAAATTTCTACATAATGCATCCATTGATGTAAAACAAAGTCACAAGATAAAAGAAGAAATTGTTCTCACTGATCAGATACTTGCATAGCCTTGTTTGGTCTCTTGAAACTCGGATGGCTAAAGTGGTAGTGAGGATTGTCATTGGCGAAACGCAAATGAAATAGAGGCTGCTAACAACAATGAAATGTTGACAGATCCGTTTGTGCGAGGCCATTTTCCTTTCTTGTGCAATGTTGCTACTGATTTCAAAATGAGATTGTTTCAAATGCTGTACGCAAATTGTATATAGGCAAATCATGCTTATAAGCGGTGAAATGAATGATAGGTATTGCAGAGAGTTTAGGACGTAAACTTAGAGCAAAACGTTCCCTACTGTAAATGTTGCCTGTGCTACTGTGAAAGTCATCGTAAGCAAAAATGAAGTGAGAACGGTAGAAATCCTCACTCTGAAAGTAATTCTTCGAAACGGCATTGGCTTTTTTATTGCCCTAGAGAGAAAATCATGTTTAAAGTGATCTGCAAAGGAAAGTTTTATTACGCCATCATGTCAAAAGGATTACTCTCTTTCTTGCCAAGTACTATAATACAGTCTCTAATAGAATAATAGTGTCTCTAATAGACGGCCACCATCCGTGTATCAATTTCAGAAGAATTTGCCCTGCCCCCCCCCTCTTTCGTTGCTTATTAGCACCCCACCTTCTGTTAAATTTTACCAGTCAAGTCAATTTATTCTCATTATTTGTTGTTTTTGATAGTTTTTTGTAAAATCTTAACCGTTCAAAGGAAACCGATGATTTTTTACTTGGAAGTTAAAAGCTGTAAATTAGATTTATCTTTGTACGATTGCAATTTTCTCTAAAACTATGCAAGAAACTGAACCAAATTTTGACAGTATAATCTAAAAGGTACTTTGATTTCAAAGAAGGATTGCCGACATGAACACTCCCTTCTATTAACACCCCCTTCTATTAAAAACTGATCGACATGAACACTCCCTTCTATTAACACCCCCTTCTATTAAAAGCTGATCGACATGAACACTCCCTTCTATTAACACCCCCTTCTATTAAAAGCTGATCGACATGAACACTCCCTTCTATTAACACCCCCTTCTATTAAAAGCTGATCGACATGAACACTCCCTTCTATTAACACCCCCTTCTATTAAAAGCTGATCGACATGAACATTCCTTTCTATTAACACTCCCTTCTATTAACACCCCCTTCTATTAAAA